TTAGAAGGGTATCATAGTGAGGTTTCCATATGTGAATCAGGATTGAGTGGTTGTTTCTTGTTTTTCCTAGACTTGATGACCTTGAAGAAGAAAGAGATGAAGGCGGAGCAGTTGAGATGCAGCTGATGCTATCTTTCTCCCAGCCACGGACCACATCCCCTTCTCTCTTCTTCCTGTAAAGCTCTCACTCTCACCTCTCCCCTTCGGTGAATTCCTGTCCTTTGATTCACCCCCCAACCTTGACTGAGATCCTGAAAGGAGGTAGTCACTCACACACAGCTTGAGTACATGTGGACAGGGCAGGAGAGAGGAAGGAGCAGGTGTACTCAATGCCAAGAGCTGAGGGGGAAGGTTCTCACTGGGAAGACAGGTGGGAGGAGAGTGTGAGGCTGTGAGGGAAAGGCTGGAAAGTTTGAGGGCCTCAGAACTGGAGAGACCTAAGACTGAGGAACTGCTGTGTGTCTGAATACATCAACCTTTGTACTGATCTGTTTCACTCTGGTATTAGCCTTTGATGGTCTTCCCACAATCCCTCATGGATGTGTGTGACAAAGAGCATGGACTTAGTCCTTTAGTATCAACCCCACCTGTCTGTGTAGACCAGTCTGTATATCTCACTAAAGGCAGGTCACTTTGTGTTTCAAGATATTCAGGGGCACTGTTGATCATTTAGGTCTGGTATGAGCTCTCTTTAACATCCTCTGGGATAGATGACATTTCCCCTATATTTTAGATGAAGAATCTGAGGTTCCTGGTATTTAAGTTCACTAGTCAGTTAGGAAATCACAGAGCCAGGATTTGAAGCAAATCTGCCTTAATGAAGCCCAAATTTACTAAATAATCTCCCTTCTTTGATACATTCAACCAACTCTACAATACTTAGCTAATTTTATATACTTTGAAGGCCTCTCTGGGGTTTCTCTCTTCAACATGATTAAAAATCTCTTTCTTTAAAAAAAGAAAGAATAATGGAAAAGACAGTCAGTCTAGTTTTAAGTCTTCTATGTTGGAAAAATGATGTTCCTCAGAAGTTCCCACCTTGATGAAACTGTGAATTACAGATCTCAGCTGTCTCGGATCCGCACTTAGTTCGAAGCAGATGAGTTTGAGTTTATCACCTTCCTCACAGTTGACTTTGGTCAGTCGTCCATACACCAAGACCTCCATCTTCCCCGTATTATCTTGTATTTCATACAAAATGATGTGTTCATTCAACACTTTTTTCTGCAAAAGAAAATCAACACCCTTCTCCTGAGAACTGGATCATGTTTCCACATCTATGAGAAACACAGGGTGTGGGTATAAACTTTTTTCTCTGACAGGTTAATATGAGCTGGAGGTTCAGAATGAGGGGTAGTGATTAGCTTAAAATATTTTGTTCAGAGAATTCTCCTTATGAGTCTGAGGATTGCCACTAATCATCATTAAGTAGATTATGTCATTTCTGTAATTCTTCTCCATTGTCTATTTATTCATTCCTCCCATTCTGCCTGAATCCTGAACCTAGATCATCTAATCCCATCGTTCTAGGTTCCTTCTCACTCACTACTCACTAATTCTGCATATGCACCTGTGTACACAGCCACTTACACAGAGGGCACAGGAAAAAACAGGGGTAGAAGGAAAGATACCTTTAATGGAATATGGAACAAAACTTCCCATAGAAAAGTAAGGTTGGCTCAGTTTAGTATTTCCATGATGAGTTGGGACGGAAATACCTTCACTAATTCTAAGAATTAATCCAAATTCTGTGTTAGAGGATGAAGCTATTTAGGTGAACACAAAATCAAAGACCCAAATTCTTTTGGGTGGAGGGCCATATCCTGTTTATTTCCTTCAGAGACACGG